CCCAGCTAGGATGGATTATGTCCAGACTGAGTTGAGTTAAGAAGGTGGGCAACAGAAAGGTCAACTGGCCTGAAAGGTACACATGCCTTTATATAGAAGTGCCTGTTTTCTGAAGAGGAGAGAGGGTTGACAGGAAGTGGGGAAGGCTTCAGGGAGGAGGTGATTTTAATAAGGAGCTGCCAGCTCACCAAGGTAAAGATTGTATCTCTTTGTGAGAAAACCAGATGGTAAATCCAAGATGTGCCTGTAGAAATATGTGATGTTTGATCTGCGGACATAAGGTATATTCACGGGGTCCCAGGAAGAGTAGCATGTGACCTGGTTGGGAGGATCATTGCCAGATAACCCTGGATACCTGAGCAGCACTCAGAAGTCGCTGCTAGAGACCATAGACAGAATTGATTCAGGCTTTGGAGTCTGAAGGCAGCTTGTGTTTGAATTCACCTCCCAGGTAGCTGGTAGCCTTGGCCAGACTTTCTGTGTCTCAGTTTTCTCATCTGCAAAACAGGGCCTAAGAATGACACCACCTTCAGGGCTTTTGGGAAGATCAGGCAGATTGACATGTGGTAAATGCTCAAGGAAGTTATAGACACAGAAGCATTCAGCAGCGGGCAGCTGTTGGCTGCTGAGACTCCATTAGGGATGAGAGACTTCAAAGGTGGAGCCCTGATCACCAGAATGAACAGTGCTATGTTGAGCCTACCTGCCGTTTGTTCTCCACATCCCTTCTCTGTCTTCTTGGGTCTGGCTGGGAGGCAGCAGCTTGGACCTTTGCCTCTGCCAGGGGAAGGGAGTTGGGGAAGGGTGTAGTGAAGGTGGATGTCTCACTTGGAGCTAAATCTGTATGACCATTGTTATTTCTAGTTAGAGATGAGGCTCAGAGACTCACAGAAGTCACACAAACAGTGTGGAGAGGACCTGGGGCTGGACCTCTTCTCTCTTCTCCCTGCATACCCACACTGTCCCAGGTACTACAGTACACACTGCTGACCACCACAGAGGGACTCCTGCTCTCTGGGGCTGCCTGACAGACAGACAGGAGATGCAGGAGCAACAGTGTGAGGCGCCTGCAGCGAACAGTGATGGGCGCCCTCTGGGAGCTCCAGGTGTTCGCCTTGCTTGGAGAGGGTAACATGGAGGCTGAAACTGGCTCTGGGCAGAAGAGCCAGGAGAGCCTTGGGGCCTTCACAGCACAGTGGTAAACTGGGGCCATGCTGTGTAGCACACTGTGAGCAGAACCAACACCAATGCTTTACCCTGAGCACAGCAGGCTCTGCTATCAGGCTCAGGAGCTCACAAAGAAGCTGGCATGGCCCCTGAGGCACCGTCCTTAGGCACCCCCAGGAGGCCTTTTGCTATCAGAGATTCACAATGCTGCTTTCATGTTGTGGCTGAGTAGTAGACACAAAGGCCTCTGGAAAAGACAACAGTGTTGAACAAAGCAGGAGAAAAGGTACCACAGGAAACAGGGTTTTGTATTCTGGGTACATGGGCTCTGGGTGTCCTCACAAGGGCCTGGATTGTGTTTGCAGAGGGCAGAGGCCTGAGGCAGATACCAGACCTTGAGCGGTCACCATGCTCATGTTAGCAGTGATCCAGTTGGCTGGGTGTCAGAAGCACCAGAGGAGAGGAAAAGAGACTGGGGAGATGTCCTGCAGTGAGGGAGGTGGTGGCATGGCCTGAATTCAGCATGGTTCAGGACCGAAGGGTTGAAGGGACCTAGCTTAGGGGTGAGTTCTCTGTGCAGCTTCCAGGACACTCTGTCTGTTCCGTTTCACCCTCAGCATCCCCAGGACTCCCCTCCTGAGCAAGTTGGGAGCTCCCCAAGTGCAGGGTCTGCACCTGCCCCTCTCTCATCTACTCTCTGTGCCCCATTCACGTAAGGTGCCTCACTACCATTTCCAGCGATCCTACTTTAGTTTTTCCCTCCCCTCCTTCCCTTTTGCATCTCACTTAACCCTTCAAATCACCCCACATTAGGTGAAGATCTGGGAATTTATCTGGAGGACAGTAAGTCCAGGTAGCCACAGAGCTTATAAGACCAGCCTCTACTCCCAAGGCTTAAGTCACTTCCTCAAGGATGTTGCATTGAGATCTGACTCCAGGGGCCTGGCTCTTGCCCTTAGCATGTGTCCTTCCTAAGTGGAGGAACGCAGAAGATTGCCCCAGAGATGGACCAAGCCAGGAAATCTTTCTACAGCTGTGGGACTCTGGCCGCATGTCTTTCCCCCTTGTGTTTCTGTGTCCTGGTCCTTAAGGACCAGATGAACAGGAGCTAAAAAGCAAGCGGGGAAGCCAGGCTCCAACTCACTCAGCCAGCAGGGGACAGGCAAGGGGCGGGGACACCCAGGACATGGTATGTATGAATCCACACAGGCTGACGTCTGTTCTTGCTCTATCTTTAGTAAGCTGTACCTGTAACTTCTCTACAGGCACTTCCGGGTTTGCAAAAATTGAATCAAGAAAAGGTTTGTTCCTGTGAATAACATTGTTTCTCCTAAAAGCATTCAGTGTACAACAATCCATCCTAAGCCATTCCCTCCACCCATTGATTCAACTCCACAGCTGTCTTCCTGAGTTAATATTTGTCCTGGCTTTTGTGCTAGGGCGGGAAGAAATTGTACCCTGACAGCCACGTGGGAGTGGGGGAGATGCCCCCTTGGAACATTGGCCGCTGTGTGATAAGAGCCCACGACCAGTTCCTTCAAGGTGCTGAGGAGCCTGGAAAAGGACGGCATGACTAAGTCTTGCTGCTCCCTCTTTTCCTGTGTGGGGCTGGCCGTGGCCACAGTGAGAGGGAGGAGGGGAAGTGAACTATTGGAGGGACAGCCCCAGGAGGAGGGGACAGATGAAGAATTTCCTAAGTGGCCATGTTGTCTGCCCTCCATTTCTCTAAAGAACCTGCAGTTATATTTGGTCTGGTGACCATATAGCCCCGCACATCCTCTTCTCTCTCACAAGTCCCTGGGGAAGGGAATAAATACCCCTCGGTCTCCAAGGACCAAGGGAAGAGGAGACAACAGCGGGGTGCTGATTTCAACTGCTTGGACTACCTTTCTGGTGGGGAAGCAGTGGGGGCCTGACTGGCCTCTGGTCCACTGGAGCAGGGGTGAGCGAGGTGTGTTCTCGGACGCAGAAGCACTCAAAGCTCAGAGGACCAGGTCTCAAGTTTTTCACCTCGTCCCTGCAATCGATGCTAAGTTTGGCTTTGAGCAAGTGACTTCGTTTTCTGAGAGTGCTTTCCCTGCCTAATGTGAGATGCTTATTGCAAGCACTGTACAGAAGGTGTTGGCCACCAGGCCCCTCTGAAGCTACACAGCTACAGTGGCCTCTGGGCCACTTCCTGATCTTGTCAATCTTTTTACACTGCACGTTCCAGCCTCACCTGACAACTCGGAACAAAGTTGTCTCCTGTTATGGATTAAAAATTGGTGGTCAACTTAACACCAACTGAATTAAATTGGCATGGTGCTGAGTGTAGATGGCCCACTTGAGAAAAGTTGCCAGCATAAAAGGAGACATAGAGAGCAAGAATTGGGCATTGTGGGTTCTCCTAAGTGTTGTTGTTTGGAGCCACTGGTTCTCTGGAGGAGCTTGTCCTGCTGGCTTCCCGATATGAATTATCATTGGAGGAGTTCAATTCCCTGTCGCTGAGAGTGGCTGTGGTTTACTTAGAGGGAGCTCTGGTCCTTGCATTGAGCATTGCTTCCTGGTTCTGGAGGGGAAGATGTGTGCTGTTCAATCTCCACAAGTGTCATGCTGGTTTCCTGGCAGGCACTTGACTGTTCTCATCATGGAAGAGCTTGGGACCTCATTTGCTGAGGATGGCCGTGCCACTTTTCAGGGCACCCCTGGTCCTTATTTTGAGCATTACCTTGTGGCGTCAGTATAGAACCTTCAACTACTGGCTCAGATCCTTCACCCCACTGGCATAGACTTTCTAGCTCCCACCGCAGACCCTTGGACCTTCCCAGAACAGATTCATAAAACAGACTGGAATGAGTCCTTGTTGTGGGCTTTTGACCTCCAGTTGGACTCATAGGAGGCACTGTCATGGGCTCTAGGTCTTCAGCTGGACTCATGCAGGATATTGTCATGGGATCCAGGCTCTTGGCTGAATATTTTGGGTCTTTAGTGTTGTGGACAGATTTCCTGTACTTTCTTGTATTTAACTCCAGGTGACCATCATAAAATAATATTATATATTCTGTGTCCTGTATGTGATTATTCTCTTTGGAACTCCTGAATACACCTCTTTTATGCCTTGGGTCCTTACCGGAGCCCTTTCCTCTGCTTAGCACTTCCCTCTTCACATGATCCTGCAGGAGGTTCTCCACAAGAGCATCCCCTGAGAGGGCTCGTCTGCCAGTGCCAGTGAGAGGTTCCTATCCCTCCTCTGTATTCTGGTCATGACATCTACTGCCATCCTTACACTTCTGTTTTTCTGGGAGCTGAAATGAAATGGATCAGGCTAGGCTCTGAATCTGCAAGCACTGTACAGAAGGTGTTGGCCACCAGGCCCCCCATCAGTAACTGTCTTTCCTGAGGCTAACACAAGACCTGGAACAGAGTAAGCTGTTGAAGTGTTGAGGACTGAAAAGAAAAGCAAATATCTGGGACAGGCATTTGACATGGAAGATTTTATTGAATTATTTTCACCTACCTTTGAAATATGGATTCCTATTTCCATTTTGCATCGATGTGCAACTTGGGCAATTCATGCAATTGAGTTTGCAGAACTAGCATTCAAATGAAAGTGTGTCTCAGTGAAAGTCCAGAATTCTCCTCTGTGATGCTCTAGGGACACTAGCTGCCTGCTTGCATGGAACAGTGTGGGTTTACATGAACCACACACAGGCCACTTCCTCTCGTTCACCTATCTTGACTTCCCACCCAGCCAGGACAACTCCTACGTATTTCTGCATGATCTTAATCTGCTCCTGAACTTGGGGGAAGTTCTGGAGGTCACTTACACCCAAATATAACTTGAATATCATGAGAGAGGTGAGCAGAGGAGTTTTCCATGTGGTCACCGTGTGGGACTAAGTGTCCCTTTTTCCTGGGACTCCCACCCCTTCCCCTGGGAAATCCCTCCTATTAGGCCTTCTGATAAAAGCGCTGAGTGCTACAGGATGGCACAAGGAAGAGCCCTGGTTTCACAGACACACCAAGACTGCTCCAGAGAGGCCTGAATCAGACACCTAGAATGAAGGTTGCTGCTGTGGCCCTGGTGTGCCTGCTGCTGGCTACGGTGTGGGCAAAAGATGTGGACAGCATGAGCTGTGAGTACCCTTGAGCCCTGTTGCTTCTCCCTGAGGAGCATAGACATGCAGCTGCTGTGGAACCCAGGAGGACTCATCTTGAACTCACTGAGTCTACCTCCCTTCTTCCCACCTGCAAGGGGGAGTGGAGTGCTTGGCAGGACTGGAGGCTCAGGACCAGTAGGAAAACCATGAACTGAGCAAACGTAGAGTTGAGCCGAGAGTCTGTCTAATCAGACCCTGCAAGCTTATGGAGGGGACTGTGAGCTTGTTTAGATCAAACTGGAAATCCTGAGGCTAGGTGGATGGTCTGGATCTTTCCTGTACAGTGTGACAGATAATAGTAGCATATGAAGGTAGGATTGGGAAGCTCTGATAGCTAGAGGACCTTGGGTAAGTCAATGGAGCTGTTGATGTCTATCTCCCTGTTGAGAGAATACTGGCATAGCAACAGACATGAAAGTAAACCAGAGGGAAGGTGGTCGGGTTAGAAAGCAAGACTTTTGGGGTAGAAGTGGCAGGAGCATGTACAAAGTAGCAGAGTGAGGGCTGGAGGCTGGAGCCTAGCGCTAGGGAGAAGGGAACTCAAGAGACTGACTGGGGCACAGACTACTACCTTGGACCACTTCCTCTGGTATTCTGAGCTCCTTGCATAGTTCCTCATTGGCTCTGGGTCTGTGGCCCACAATGTCTGATGTGCTTCAGGCTGGTTCCCTAGGGAGTGGGATCCAGAGCCCTTGAACAAGCTGGGACAAAACAAGACTCTCATGGTGTGAGAGGAGCACTGAATGAGCCTTCAGGAATCAGGGTATAAACAGTCTTGTTCTAAGGATGGGGCATTCTGGCTACAGGACAGATTTATCATCACAACTGCCAGCTGGTCTGTGGGGAACAGAAATCCGAACCCTGGTCTTCTGACTCTTTCCCTAGCTAAGCCCAGACCTGCATGGCTGCAAAGACATTGCTGTGCAGAAAGCCCTTGGACGTAGTCCAGAAGCACAGGACTGGCCTGGGTGTGAATTCGCTGAGTTTAAAAACTCATCCTTCTTATAAGAACCTGAACAGTGGGCGAACATTCTTTTGTGCTTGTCTTCTAGTGCACGTGGCCTCTTCCCGGTGCTGCTACTCATTTGTGGAGAGAAAGATCTCCCATCACAGAATTCAGAGTTACAAAGGCACCAGCTCCTCCTGTCCTTACGAAGCTGTGATGTGAGTAGTCACCTGCCACACCCCTGGGGAGGGGACACGCTGGCAGAAATAAGACCAGCAGACACTAGGTGGCGCTGTCCCACTAGGATCCAGCCTTCTGAACCCAGCCTGCAAAGCCACCAAAACCAGGCTGCAGAGCCGCGATTGTGGGGTAGGGGGAGCCCCGAGCTTCCTAGCGGAGGCCTGGAAGGACCATCTGTTCTGCAGTGACTTGTGTTTTGGGAAACCCACTGTGCCAATTACTGTATCCCAGAATTACACCCTGGAGAAAGGAACCACTTAACAAAAGCAACAGACATTATCATGTAGCAGAAAGAGGGAGGTTGTCAGGATTAGTCCTTGCCTCTGCGTTGCCAACCTGTGGTCCAGGTGACCTTGGGCAGGGAAATTCCTCAGCACCTCATGAGGCACCCACCCCTCAGTATTGCTTATCTGGGAACCAGAGTAAGCGGGATGCCTGCATCACAGGCTCAGGGCAAACTTCACAGAGGGCATTCGCGTACAGGCCTCAGCGTGCCAAGGCACTTGCATATACACCACCTCACCTGGCCCTGTTTATAATCAGGAAAATTAAAGTTTGGGGAAGCAGAAGTAAGTGTCTAAGCTCACCCAGTCTGTGAGAGGCAGGATTAGATAAGTAGACAGTGGATTAGACAATATTAATTAAACAATGGACTGGACAATTAGGAAGCAGTCAGAGTAGAAAAGCAACACACACACACACACACACACACACACACACACGCACACACACACACATACACCCAGTGACTCCAGAGCAATTATGTATCAGATGTACCAAATAAACACAGGAATGTTAAAAGCTGTAGCAGAGAGATATTTGAAGGCAGGAATTTCTTCATCGTAGTTAATCATCAAGCTGACTACAAAGTATTCTACCCCATCCTCATACCTGGAGATGGAATCTCCAAAGGACCGGTCAGGGGCTTTAGTTAATAAATTTCTGATGCTTACATTAATGGATGTCCCCCTTGCACCCAGTGTGGAAGTTACAGATCTTATGTAGTGAGATCATTCACTGAGAGGGAAAATGAGACCCAGAGAGGAAACACAGGGACACCAAGCAACATGGAAGTGGAGACAGGACTTCGTGTGGTACCCAGTGACTGGTACTTATCCCTGTCCTGTGTTTTCTGTTCACAGATTCAAGCTTAAGGGTGGCAGAGAAATCTGCGCCTTGAAGACAATTGAATGGGTTCAAGATTACTTGACAAAGAAGAAGATCCTCAGGCTGAAGGGAAAATAAGGAATTCCTTCCCATCCTGGCCTCCAGAGACCACAGAGTTCCACTTGTCCCCCATCTTCCAACTGACACCTTTTCTTCTGCCCACCCTCTTGGAGCCTTAGAGGACTGCATGGTCTTGATAAGCTATGTTGCAACACTTTATATATTTAAATATAGAATCTCCAACTCCTGCTCCCTTGTGTTTCTTGGATTCTGCAGGGATTTCAGGGTGTGCACTTGCTTGGCACTGGGGCTGAAGAACAGGATTAGAGGGCTGGAAGGTGAGAGAGGAAGGCTGACCTGGTACCAGGGGTACTGAATGCTGTCTTAGAGCTGCTGCATGTGCTCTGCCTCCCACCTCCTCCTCCTCCTTGGGCGAGCTTTGACTCAGGCCAAAGCTGGCTTCTCTGCCTCTGGGTCTAGCAGCTGAGGGAGACACGGTGGAGCAGCGAGCTGGGACCTGAGCTGGGTTTAAGTTGGAAACCTGGGCCCTCTCCCTTCCTGTCTTGCCTACAGTGCTCAGGGAATGATGTTATCCAGTGTCCTAGCTGGAGGGGACCTTGTCAGGTCATCTGCCTCTAAGATGCTGCTACGCTTGTTTCACAGATGAAGTGTCTTGGGGCTAGAGAGGAACACACAGAGCCCAGGGCTCCAGCCTCCCAGGCTTGAATTTTACTCATGTCCCAAGTTACCATGTGTGTGCCTGACACAGCAAGGCACAGAGCTTCTCTCTTTGAGATCCCAGACACAGGCCCTGCAGGGCTGTTCTTAGAGCCCTTCTCTCCTTGGGGCAGTCCAGGTGCCTGTCCACGGAGAGGTAGCCTATGTCTGACCAGATGCAACCCATCTGCCCGGAGGAGTGAGGCTGCCTCTGAAAGAGCAGAGGAGCCTATGTGGACATACAGGAAGAAGAGACCCTATCACTTAGAAGGGACGGTCACAAAGTCCCATTTGTGTAGTGTATGACTTGAGAAGGTGAGGAAGGAGAATGAATTCTGGATTTCAGAACTGGCGCCCCATTGCAGGTCATCTTGGTGGTTTCAGGGAGGTGGTCTTTTGTCCCGTGTTCTTTCCCCCTATCATTCAATGTATCCCACATTTGCCTCAGTCTTACTCTGCTTCTTCCCCTCCACCTCTGCAGCTGCCCTCCCTCGTTCACTTTTCCCTCTTACCTGGCTTATTGCTGCAGGCTGTCCTCAGTCACCGCTCCTAACTCACCCACAGCCACCCTAACCCTTCCTGGTGGGCCCAAAGTCTTCATTTCTTCCCCCTGCCTTCAGAATTGAGTCTAACTCCCTAACCCTTTTTTTATAGAATTCTCCAACTCTTACATTCTGGAACCTAAAGTCTGACCTTATGGAATTAGTTCTTCCAGGCCTCCTTTTTTCTCTCTTACATCTTGCACCACGTTTAGAAGGATCTTTGCTATGACCATGATACCCCATCCTCCCAGGGCCATTCTACTCAAGTCCTGTTTCTGTGTTAAGCCTGATGCTAAGTAGGACGTGACTATGTGGTCTCCATCTGGGGGCAGGTATACATGCAGGGTGCATGACTCACCCCAGGCTGGGGGAAGGCTTGGAAGAGCAGACACAGAGATAGGAAGACCAGTTGAAACACATTTGCAGTAGAGACTTTGGGGAGCAAAGGGAGGTCTCAAAGGAAAGAATAGTCGAGTATGAACCAGATATGAGATTGATCATAGAAGCATATGCTGGAGATCAGAGCCATTGTTTTGGAATAAATTCAGTGGCCAACACTCAGGAACCCAGGTTGGCCACATAACCAGTGTCCTGTACCTTGCATTCCCCTGGCATGCTCCACCAGGGTGCTCAGAGTGCCCCCTTCTGTATGGGAGTTTCTTCCAAAGAAAACATCACTGTTACAGTTCCTAAATAACATGAATTTCCTGCAAACACTCAGAGGTCTTTCCATTGCATTCAGTTTTCTATACTATATATCTAACAAATGTCACATTCACAAGCCAAATCTGCTCCCTACATTACAGCGTTCTTTCATACAGTTTCTACAGGCACATGCTTCATCCTTGAAAGCCAGAGAGAAATGTGCCCAGGTTAGCAGGCCAGGGGCTGGGGGACTTTCAAGAACCAGCTCCTTGAAGCCTTGCTTTAACAGAGGATCATTGGGCTGGGGTGTGGCTCAGTGGTAAACTCTTGCCTAGTGTTCATGAGATACACCCCCATCACTGCAAATGCGCGCGTGCGCGCGCATACACACACACACACACACACACACACACACACAGAATCAGATCAGTACTCAAAATGAAATCTAAAACAGTAACAACTCAAAGAGTAATGAACAGTCATGGAGATATAGTACATTTTGCATGAAAAATCAGAAAATTTCTATTTGAAAATTGTGGTAAAGTTATTCCAGAGTACAGACGGGCAGGTGGGCAGAACTGAGTCATCCCTTCTCACCCTCAGGTTGGGTCTGGGTGAGTGGAGAGGAGAGCTCATGTCTTCAGATCGTTCAGGTAAACCATGGCATGCTGAACCCACTTCTTCGTGGGGTCAGCACAGATTTGTATGTTTCTCCTGGTTTTGAAGCTGCAGAGAAAGGAGAAAAGAATTATATACTGGAACCTACTGGGGGCAATTCTCTGCTCTCTAACCCCACTGTCTCTTTTCTGGTGGTGAAGGTCCTTCCTGGGACAGATGGAAGAGAGTATGTGGAAGCAAGGACCCTCCAGCAACAGCTGCTGCTCTTGCTGGCCCCGGGAAACCATCCTCATGTCTGCTAAAGCAGTCACATGGGTGAGGACGGGTACCCAGAAGGGGACAGAGCCCAGTGAAAGGTAGCAGCCCTCTCTGGGTATGCTATTGTCATAACAGGCAGATTCAATCTTATCCTCTGAGCATCAGCTGACATCTCTGTTCTAGGAAAAAAACTTAGGATTGGGGCACACAGAAGGAAACAAGGCACTGGGCAGGGCTTTGCTACTCACATGACAGCCGTCAGGGGACACTTGTCACTGGTGAGCTCATAGCCTTTCAGATAATTCAAGGGGATCTTGCGGTGGGTTAACGTCAAACAGCAAGCAAGAGGGGTCTCATTGGTGTCTTTCATATCTAGACACAAAATCACCAAGAAAAAACCTTCAGGAGCGTGCCTAGCATTTCAGGGCTTGACCAAAGCAGGAAGTAGGGTAGAGAGGTAAAAGCAAATTAGACTTATCTCCAAGCCCAAATCACCTGCCCTGACCTGCTGCTAGGGTGGGACCTATAACTTTTGGCTGAGATCTCAAACTCTGTTATTTCGGACTGCTGGTTTGGGGTGTGTCCCTGCTATCTGGGGGAGACCAGGGACACAGCTAGTGGACAGGTGTTGGGGATAGCCCCAGATGTGCAGGGATGGTAATGGTCAGTGGCTGTTAATAAAAGGCCTGGACTTAGTGTCAGCCACTTGGGTTTTGCTCTTGCTCTGGGGTGGCCCAGCGTGGGCAGGTCCCTCCTGTCTCTAACTTGGGCTTCAGCTTCTAACTTTAACGTTCTAACGTGAATGCTGAAGTGAAACTCTGGGGACCTTGCTGTTCGAATGAGTTTAGAAGTTAGGCACTTTGGCTTTAGGCTTCTCAGAAGGCAAGGCAGAAAGACAGAGAGATAGAGAGAAAGTGAGGGAGAGAAGGAGGATGGTTTTACCTGCTTGCGCCAGCACCTGGACGCTGACAGCAGCAGCTGTTAGCATCAGGCACAGAAGCGATGCTGAGACCTGCATGGTGGAGAGCAAGGGGGAGGCTGCGGCTTCAGGGTTGGTCTCAGCTTGTGTCCTTCTGGATCTTCTGCCTGCCTTTTATAAGAAGCAGAGCAGGTTGGAGTTCCCAGAAGACCTTCTCATAGGCTTTATCATGCCAACTTGTGAGGCAACGGGGCACTGAACCAGTTTTTCTGGATCTGGTTGGCACAGAACATTCTAGAAAATGATGGGAAATTCTGGGTTGGGAAGCCTGGGCTGCTTGTCTCTTCTTGGCTGCTTGGGCACAAGGAATCAGGGTAGAAGAAGGGTGCAGGTACACTAGAGTCACTTAAAGTAGAGAGTGATTCTGTGCTCACCTTTCCGGACATGAAGAAGAAAACAGGAAAAACCCTTGTACAGAAAGAGTGCTTTGAACATGGTATGCAGGAAGCACATACCATTGCTATCCTACCATTTCGTAGATGAGGAAACCGAGGTGTGAGAGATGAAATTACCATCTGTAACCTCAAGGAAAATAAGTAGCAAAGCTAGAAGAGAAAGCTGGTGTGTGTTTACCTAATCACCAGGGAAACTTCAAACTTTCACTTAGCTTCAGGAGTCTTTTTCCAAATCAGGTTTAATGGGAATGTTCAACACCTGGACAGGTGGAGTCAGAGGCTCCTGACATCACACACTGATCCACCACTCAGGCCCAGAGGGACAGGTGGAAACCACTTGTTTGCTAGGGGTGGGAGAGGGGGCAAAGGCCCCTGATGAGGGAAGGGGTATAGTTGTGCTTTGCTCCTGATCCTGGGTTCCCCCTGTGAGAATGATGGAGCTGAGCCTGGAGCTGGGGAAGGAGGTGCTTCAGGAGGCCTGGCGGATGCAGGGGATGTCTGGATCAGGCTGTCTGGCTGGGCACAGCTGCAAGTGTTGCCTATAATTGTCCTTTCCTGTGACTTCTCCTCTGTGCTTTCATCCTTACAAAAGGGGCCTTTCCATGGTAGCAGAGCACACACAATGAAAACAAAGAGAAGGAAATAAAAAACTAAGTTTAGAGAAGAAAAAGTGACAAATACCAGAAAGGACAGATGGCCTTGGGTGAGCTTCTCATGAAGCAGAAATTCCCCTGAGGCTGACCAGGGGAAAAGAGAAAACAAGACAAACAGACAACTGCAGGAGTTAAAAAATAAAAAGAAAAATTAGAAAAAGAAATCATCATAGAGTCTGCAGACACCAAAAAGAACCTATGCCAATAAATATAATTTAGATAAAATGAATGAGTTTCCAAAAAACATAACTTAACCAGATTGCAGGAGGAAATGAAAACAAAAGAATTTCTAAACTCTCAAAGAAATTGAAGCAGTAATTGAAAATCTTTTCACAAAATACGCTCCGGGCTCAAACAGCTTTAGCAGTTAATTCCCACCAGTACTGATTATTCCAATCTTACGCAAACACTTCCCAAGAATTTTAAGAGTGTGAGCTGTCCAACTCATTATTTTATGAAGCTTATGTAACTCTGACAATAAACACTTGTCAAGGGCCATGAGAGAAAAGCAGATCATGAGTTTCCCACTTCAGACAATATTCTGTTCTTTCCTACCTGGATCTCTACCTGGGCAGCCGATCTGTGTGCGTTGTGTGTAGAGGATTTGCAGTGCCTGCCTCTCAGAGGGCAACAGACACTGGGAATTCCCCCGGCCTTTGGAGGAGGAAAACTAGTTGAGGGTTTTTTTTTTCCCTTGCTGTCTCCCTCTGTGTTTCCACCACTGGTTTAAACTTTTTGCAGGGTGGCCTCTCCCAGCTCCCTGCAGGCAGGTGTGAGGAGTCGCCTCCTCTTCTGTGCTCCTCAGAGAGTGGGCTTTAACCATGTTGTTCTAGCCTCAGAAAATAACTTCTCTATGAAATCATTCTCCAGTTCTTCCCAATGAAGGGCCATCTATTTCTTGCTGAGGTTTGACTAACCAAGGGTCAGAGACTCAGAAGTGGTCCCAAGAAACAGACCTTTCAGATGGGGATCTGGTATTGGGTTGTTTGTGTGTTTTGGGAACACAGTAGAAAAGGTCACAGTGACAGCTTCTGTTGGCATCACAGTGGTCTAAATGATCACTCACAGTGACTTGACATGCTGAATTTCACAAAGTCCTCCAGGGGCTCCTGAGGTGCATGACAGTTTGGGAACCATGAAGTTATAGTAACCCACTGCCAACACGTATCCATGAACAGCCCTGATAAAGTTCTTAAGAATGGTGTTCCTCTCCCAAGACCTCATCAAAGCATCTCATAATGCCTGGATGAAGTGCTCCCCTGGGCATCCCCAGGAGTACAGTTAGGAGATGTCTGATCAGCTTGTGCCAGGTGGATCCATTCCAACAGAATCACTTTCCTCAGTCCCTGCACCCCTTCCCAGCATCCCAGGGAAGCTCTGATTTTCCACTTCATTCACTTCAGGCTGCTTTGTAAAATTTACACTTCACTCAACCATTCTAGCTAACCGTTAACACTACTCCCAAGCAGGTGCTTGGGACACATTAAATCCTAAACTTGGCCAGATGAGTCTCGTGTATTATTCTCTTTAGTCTAACACCCTTAAAATGCACACCCACACCCAATGGCAACTTTCATGGAAACTGAGTGGGCTAGGGTTCCTTTAACTCCCAGCTGGTGTGAAAATTAATGCCTGTCCTTTCCTCTGGTTCAGAATTTAGTAGGGTAGTTAGAGGGGGAATCTGAACTTACTAGGTGGTTAGAGATGGGGATCTGAAGTTACTCAGTCACTGGTTTATGTCTAGTCCTCACCATTTATTGGCTATGTGACATACAGCGGATTGTTTATGAGTCTCCAAGAGGAGAACCTTGGCTAACCCCTATCTTACTGTGATGGTAGAAGAGTCCATAAGATAAACCAGGAAGAAGTGCTTAGAAAAGTATCCACAATTTGCATTTTTAACATGCTCTCAAATGACCCAGCTATTACTGGGCTGAGGACAACTCTTGGAGAACCACAGCCATGGTGGAACAGAATTTACTGCTCTCAAGGGAGGAATGGGGTCACAGGGTGGCAAAAGGCAGGTGATAGTATTTAACAATCATGGAGAGACAAGATAAGCACTATTATCCAAGAGACCATAGATCCTGAATAGAAATTGGAGTGTTTTGATGGACCAGGACCAGTTCTATCACTCTATCCAGTAGGTCATCTAGCTATTCTTGGCCCAGTAAACATCATGTAATGCAAGTCTCTTAGAGCCATGAGACCCTGGGATTGCTTCATGGCTCTAGACCCTTAGCATCCACACATCCTGCCCTCTACCCATACCTCTTCTGGGCAGTCTTATGCCCCTCCATCTTACATAGCTATATTGTAGAACTGGCTAGACAATTTATGTAGTTTGGTAGCTTTCTAAGGTCCTTTACCCGCGAAGTCTATTTTCTCTCTGTTTTTAAAATTTTTCATTGTAACATTTTAACTTTAATTTTTTGCCATACTTAATAAACACCTTCCTCCTGGGCAATGGGTACATGCATATATTGCATCTCAATCCTTTTTTCTTCCCTTTCTTTCATCTCTCTCTCCTCTCTCATCATCCTCAGACCCACAACCTATCTCCACAAAATCTAGCTCCTGCTTTCCTATCATCTATATTTTATTTTGATATTGAAATTATTTATCCTTTGAATTTCTCATATAAAATAAATCATATGCATTTAACCTTTGGCATCTGATTTATTTCACTCAGCACTGTGGTCTCAAGGTGTATCTATTTTTCTACAAGTGATTCAAATTTATTTTTCCTTGTGGCTGAGCAGTATTACACTGTGTATATAACACAGTTTCCCAAATAGAGTAGGTGTTGGACTGGATTTCTTTTCCACCTGTATGTGGAAGGAGCCACTTTCAGAGTAAAAACTGCACCATATTTGCAGGTTGCCAGGGCTTTTCTTGGGATTAGCACTGTGGGTCTGTTCTTTATGATTGGGGCTGCAGACTCTCACCCGGATTTCCTTGTGTTTATAAAGATGGGTCCCCCTCCCTGGGAGCTGGGACTAATGCTGTAGACTACTTTATTGTTTTCTCTGTGGCATCTTTTTTTTTTTTTTTTTTTTTTTTAGATTTCTGGAGCTCTTTTCTTTGTCTTCCCTAAGTTGTTGTTTCTCAAGTTTCTGGATTCCAGGTGCCTGAAAGGCAATAATTTGCTGCTGGCTTTTGCTCTACCATCTTCCTGCATAGCTGCTAATTCTATTATCAAGGAATAACTTATTGGGAATCCTGATCCATCGTGGGTTAGCACTGAGTCCACTAAAGGAAGCTACTCTGGGGCACCTGTCTTTCTGCTTCTCCTTCTTCATCTCATCTCCCCTTTCAGGCCCTAAAGAGGAAGGAGAGAGTGCCACGTTTCCACTTCGTACAACACAGGGCTGACTGCTGGAGTGGAGGGAGCCAGTCCTAATCAGCATTCTCAGGGCCCAAGGCTGCTGAGTCTTTCCAGAGAAAGGAACACCTGTGGAGGAAAGGAATTAGACTTTTAGAGGGGAAAGTTCATCCATGAAAACACGGCAAGACTACTCGGCTTGCTTCTTCCTTCTCACCACCTTCTCTCACAAGGCTGCCGTTCCCCTCAGTGTCCCAACCACCTAAATCATTCTTCTTTCTACCTGACCTAAACAAGAATCATTTGAGACCTTGTTTAACCCATCTCTCATGAAGACCTCCCAGGCAGTACAGATTTCATAAGGGACAAAGGTGACTTGGTGACTTGGTGAGGGACAAGCATTGCTACTTCTGCTCTAAGAAAGTGAATCATCTTTCTGGGTATTTTCTGGACTACAGCAGAGTTGAAGAAACTTTGGCGACCTTTCTCTACGGGAGGATCATCATATGGGAATAAACCAGGGTTGTTCCAGGCAAACTTCAGTGTGCCTTCTTGCTAACTAATGGAGACTTAGCATCGAGTGTTGGCCATTTAGGTTTTTATGGTGTCCAGTTTCTGCCTCTCCTTCTTTATTACCCTGTACTTTGTGCACAGGATGCAAAGGCCAACCCCCTAAGGAAGCACTCCTAAGTGGGGCAGAACTTTTAGAAATGTTTTTAAAAATAATGTATGCTGGCTTAGAGTATTTGCAAAATACAACCTGTCCTTTCAGGATTGAAATGGAAAATTCTGGTGTTTTTTTTTTTTTTAATTTTCACATAAAAGGTTTTGGAATTTACTATCACTTTGTTAGCTAATGCATGTCACAAAATATTAGCAAAAGCCATATTTTATCTTTAATAACCTAATTTCTTAATGGATGAATAGCTGTCTACTGAGTAGAAGAACTACTATTTGTCTAGACATACAGTGCTGTGGCATTTAGCTGATTTGACTGGGATTCTGGATGATGGTATGGTTCATGAAAGAAATCTGCATCATTGTTTACTTCGCTGTCATGTAGATGGCTTGGTAAGTTAATAGTAGTAAAACAGTTATCAGATTTGTTTAAATATATGTGTGTAGCATACGTATATTAAAATTCACAAATCTCACAGAGAATAACTTTCTACACCGAGTTGTAAAGATAGTCTCCTGTGTTTCTTCGGGATGTTTTGTCGTTTGTTTAGTTTTAATCTCTGGGTACAGCAGGTAATCACTACTCACATTAGATTAACATTTCCATCAGTGATGGAAGATCTCTGAGTCGCTCCCCAGGCAATCTGTCATCTTCTGGAGGTCATCATTATTGTGGCTTCTGCCACTACTAATTGCCTATTTTTGAAATTCATGTATCTGAAATCATATGATGTGATTTGGGTCCAAACCCTTGTATACAGTGTAACGTTTTTCTTTAAATCTTTGCTAAGTAACATTATATTTTGTAAATATTCCAACAGTGTGCTTATCCCTTCCCCTAGACACTTAGGGCAGTTTTAGTTTGATCTATTCTGATTAGAGTGACCATGAACATTTTTCTTTAAGTGTGTTTGTGTATTTGTGGACTAATAGATGTTAAATATTTACTTAGAAGTGAAATTTATGGGCTATTCAATAAATACATGCTTCATTTGATTAGAAACTGCTAGATAGTTTTCCAAACATTCATCAGTTACGGAAAAGAGCTTCATTTGACTTTTATTCCATCAGAGCTCGGTATTATCTATCTTTTGTTTTCTGAATTTGCAGGAATATTTCACATTGCCTTCAATTACATTTGCGTGATTACTTGAGACACTGAGTTTCTTTTTTATGTATTCACTAGTTATTTAGACATTTTGTTTTGTGAAATACATGTTCACATTTTGGCCCATTTTAAATTGTTTTGTTCTTATTAATATTTGATAGTTCTTTACATAGTCTGGTTTATTATATACATATATATATGTATATTACAGTGGCTGTAATATTTGGCTTGTGTCTTACTTTATTAATATTATCTTCTAATGAGTAGTTACTTCCAATTTTGTGAAAGTCTAATTTGCACATGTTTATATTTGGTAGTTATTTGTTTATGTTTTCTTTAACATATCATCTTCTATTCCAAGTCATAAATGTAATTTCTTCTCTTTTCTTCTAGATATATTCTAGCTTCAGATTTTATACTCAGGTCCCTGGTTAATTTGAGATTAATTTTTAGTGTGATATAAGGGAGATGTTTATTTTCTTTCATGTAATATGGTAGCTCTAATAACTAATAATATTTATTTGAAAGGCTTT